ATCTATCTATCTATCTATCTATCTATCTATCTATCTATCTATCTATCTATCTATCTATCTATCTATCTATCTATCTATCTATCTATCTATCTATAATGATCCATCTACCAACTCATCTATCTTCCTGTCTTTTTACCCATCTACATATCTACCCACCTATATACTCATGTTTCTACACATCTGTCCACCTTTCTACCGATCCATCCATCCACTTCATGTCAGGATCTTCTACCAGAGGTCTGTGAGTTTGAGGGTTCTGTTCATCATCTTAGCTGTTAGGTCTGTTCTCTTCTGGACAGAGATCTCTGAGGTTGTTCCTGGGATCTGTCAGAACCACTCCTCCAGTTTGGGGGGGTCACAGCACAGAGGGCTGAAATGACCATTGGCACCACTGATGCTTTGACCTTCCACAACTTCTGTATTTCCTCTCTTAGCTCTTGTTATTTCTCCAGCTTCTTGAGCTTCTTCTTCCTGATGTTAAAGTCACTGCCTTCTTCTCTTGCTTGTTGATCACCACAAAGTCTGGTTGGTTAGCCATCAGCTGTCAGTCTGGATCTGGAGGCCTCAAGTCCCAGAACAAAGAATTTGTATATATTTATAAATGTATTAAGTTCATTAATTGAAGATAGCATTTTTCTGTATCAAAAGTAAAGCCACAGCACTTTCTCTCCTCTRTGAGTTGTACCATTTTACATGTATTCTTTTCATGCCAGTTTTTTTGTATTTCAGTTCAATTCAGTTCAAATCAGTTTATTTATATAGCTCCAAGTCACAACATACGTTGTCTCAGGGCACTGTACATGAAAAAAGAACAATCTAAAGAAGAAGCCAGCAGATTTCATGAATAAAACTGATACATGTATGATATTAACAAAAACATTGCTGTGGAACTCTGCTGCTGTGGAAGTAGAACCTAAACTGGCTTCAGGTTTGCTGCGACATTAACATGCTGCTGAATGACTGACTGGCAGTAATGAAACATGGTTTATTTTAAAGATGAGTTTAAATTTAAGCTTACCACACCTGCCTGTCTTGTCAGTTCAACTTAAAACCTGAACCATATTGTTTTTGTATTCCAGATCAATAGTTTTTGAAAGGGGTTGTTTGTTAAATAAAAAGTTTAGATGCTAAGTCCTTGTAGACCAGTTTCAGCTAGGATAAAACAGTAATAGTATCCCCACTTCATGGTTGGGTAAAGGTATTTTCAGTAAAGTTGACTAACCTAACAAATATTTTATAATCTTGATAAAGGCCTGGAGCTGGGAGGTATTGGACAATGAATTTTGCCTTGCCAAAAATAAAAAGATTTTTTTTCCTTTTCAATAAAAGCTGCTGTACATTAAAATCATCCTTCCCCTTTCCACAAATCCACAAATATATATAT